TGTTCTAGAGAGCAATTTGGGAATACATCTGGCGTGTTAAGGATGTTGCCATAAGAATGACATGTTCTGAACTCTGAGTTTTAATGTGACTTTTGCAGATGTGCTGGCATTGAAAGGCAGTCCCGTGATGTGACTTTGAGTGGTTTTACTTACATTTATCACTTTTATTTCTGTTTTTTTGAGGGCACTTGTTACTCAAAATGGTCAATATTTGCAGTTTTTGTAGTGAAATTATTAGGCTGAACATTTTTTCATTCATGAATCTACTCGGCACGTTCTGAAACAGCTAGACATTTGTCATTTGCAACCAGCTTTAATTCTAGCAAAATGCTGGTCAGTTAGGACTGTGAGTGTTCACGTTTCTTTTGTACATGACTTGAAGACATTCATTACCTGAGGATAATTTTTTTGAGTTTTATGCTTGTATGTTAGTGCTGGGAACATACTGCGGATAGCAGGGATATATGCTTAAGGATGATGGATAATTAGAAATTTTAATTTTTTTTTAGATATATCTGGATGACACATCTTTCAGAGGTGTTCACAGGCTGGGAAGGTTTTAGAAAAGAGCATTGGAAAGCTCCTTTTCAACATCTACCTGAGTCCCCTGAAATTTGGAAATTATGGTATAAAGCCACGTTGGTAGTGCCACAATGTATGATCATCTTTGTAAAGTCAAGAAGCCTGGCTAAGCTTGTATCACATTACAAGTAACTGGTATTGTGAACTCAACAGTATCTGTAATGACACAAAGTTGGTCAGCCTATATTGGAAAAAAAGAAAGGACATAATATCTTACAAACCAATATCAAATGGGATTATTAAACAGAAATCATACAGGTATAGAAAATGGAAAGATGATTACTTTTTTCCAAGAATAATTTAGATAAGCATAACTTTAGAGATACTTTGAACCTTCTTTCACTAATGCTAATAAAAATTGAAGTATCTGTTTTAGTAAGTGGAAGTTAGAATACTGGAGAAGGGCATATGATCAATAATACTTCATTTTACAGGTAAACTCCTTGGATCTCCATCTTTTTTTGTCACAATAGCATGCAATAGCTCATAAATTTATCAGTTTGCCAATTTATTTCAGGGTCCAATAAAATGGTAAGTGCCTTTGATAATTAAAGTACTTGTGACACCTATGTCAGTCTTAAATCCCTGACATCAGACTGTTCCTAGAAAGTTCAGCCTGTGGTCCTGCTTGCATTGTTGCCCCTCCACTGTGGCAGCATTTATTTAATTGACCTCCTCATGAAGGTAATTCAGTAAGCTAAACCATACCATTAAAAAAAAACTGGGAAAAAAAGTAGTTTAATTCCAGGATGAGTTTGATGTGTGGGAGGACAAGAGTAGGGCTAGGACTGCAGAAGGGAGAGAACAAATCTGTGGCAGGTCTCAGCAGCTCTGGTCTCCGTGGCTCTACCTGTTATGACCCAACCTCTCATGGAGTCACAGGAGGAATGGCCTTTGTGTGTGTCCTTCATCCTTCCATTTGAGTGTTTCATGCCTCTTATTAGCGGGATCTTTTTTGGAAGAACTCTGAAATGGATACTCAGCCCTCTTCTATAATAGTCCATGTTTATTAATTTCAGAAAATTTTGATTGATTTTTTGACAAAGGATGAGATCTTTAGTATTGACCTTTTACTGGATGAATGAGCTTATTGGTTCTAATTCTAAATAACAAGCATGGATTTTGAAGACTATTTGTGTCTGCTTAATCAGTGGAAGAAATCTTGTTGCTGAAACATTATCTGTCTACTTCTTACTGGTTTTAAGTGAAGTGCTCGCAAAATATTTACATCTCCATGTTCATCAATATTTTCACTTCTGCTGACTTCTACGTGCAGGAATACAGGTTAAGCATGTTTAATTTTTTTCAACTATAACTTTTCCATCACTCAGGAAGTTGCCATAGAAAAGAATGGATTTTCAGCTTCTCTTCTAAATCACATTATTTCCGTTTCTGCAATGAAAGCTACTGACTTTTCTTTTTGTACCTAATTAGTATGGCATTTTTGTAAACTGTCAGATATCAACCACTTCCCTGGATGCTCGTGAAGTATGTTTTTATTTACAAAATTCAGTCAGCAACTGAAGTGGTACAGTAAAAATTGCGCTGTATGCTTTACGAGAGGAAAAAAGTCAATTTTTGTCAGCTTCCTGTCTAGTCAACAAAGAAACATAAAAGAAAAAGAGGACTGACAAATTTGTTTCCTTTTGCATCTGGCAACTGTTGCACACTAAAATAATATTTCCTGTAGCTATTTTGCTCCGATGTTCCAACATTTAAATTTTACTAAAACTGAATTTTCAAATGACAATTTGGAAAAAATATGGGTTGGAGAAAATTTTGTCTGTTTTTCATTTGCACCAGACAAGTAAATTAGAGTACATGTGGATAGTACTGGTTTTTCCTTGTGACTATGTTTTAAAAATGTCAAAAGCATCCAGTTGACCAGCCACATTACTAAAAGTGAGTTCCACAGATGAAAAATAATAATAAAAGAAAGCTGTTTGACAGTCAATCTAGATTGTTCTTCCGTTACTGACTTTGAGACAAATTGCGCTTTAATAGATATACTTATTTGCTATGCCACGTGCATTTAGAATGTCCCAATCCAAGTGCAAGTGAAAATGGTTTTGGACTAAGGAGCTATATTGTAAAGGAAAAGCTGACACTATAGTTTCTACAAGTATGAATATTCTGCTGTATTTATGTAACAGTTGAATTCAGAGCAAAGTAGAGGGCTCGGCCTGCAAGATATCAGGGCAATAAAAGCCACACTGATGATTTGCGTTGCATTTCTCTGAACTCCTTTATGCCATAAAGCTCTTAACTAAGAACTGAATCCAATAGGAGGTGTAACTATGACAAATGTGGATTTAATGGGACAAAATGTGGAATTAAACCATCTAATTTGCACCTAAGCCCCCTTTCCATGTAATTTTGATGTTCATCAGATGAATGGGGAAGACAGCAACATCCTGAAAGGGATCTGATCCATCCACTTCCTATGAGCCTAATGCACGAGTGCTCTCAGTTCTTTCAAGTCATGCAAGTCATTGTTAGCTTTCACATCCCAGTGTGGTGATACTGCTGCTCATCAGCTAGCAGACGATGTGGACTCTTCTCCATACCTCCTAATTCTCAGAGAAGTTGTGCAATCCATAGATAAGGCTGTGGTAAAGCTCATCTTCATTTTTTTTTTTGTGAAGTCAGGTAGAAGGGAGTAATAAACCATCACAGGCTATGGGTGCCCGAGTGTGTTTGTTAAAGACAGAGGCTGTTGCTGATTGAGGGAAGTACTTCCCTGCTTCTGGCATTGTTTGTGCAGGATCTAGAGCCAGGGCCTTCCTCCAGATGTGAGGTAGTGCCTCAGCCATGGGGCAAAGTTCTTGCACAAAAAACTTGTGAACTGAAACAGTGATTTGGGGGTTGTTTTTCAGTTATCTGCCCAGTTACTTAACTTCACATGTGATTTGAGGGTTGAGGTTTGTTCTGGGGTCTTTTTCTTCTCCTTTTTCCTCATCCTGTTTTCTTCTCTCTAGACCCTTTCTTAAAGGACACCACCTTTTGGACAAGCCCCTGAGTCTTACCACTTAACTGGTGCTTCTCAGAGAGGAATAAAGTGACCTTTGGATCATTTGTCTGCAATAGCAAAGGAAGGAAAAAACACTTTTTTGATTTTTGTTTAATCATCTTTGTGCTTCTGAGCAGGAGTTGAGTCTTCTCTTCTGAGCAAGGGCTTTTGTAAAGCTGTGAGCTTAGCATTTAAGAGAAGTACCTCTTGCAACTTGTGGCTCTTCAACAGTCATGACCATATCCGTCTGGAGTCTTTAAATATACAGTAATGTCCTTTGAAAGATAACTTGAAATGAGTGGAGTATTTCTGAGGTGTGCAGAGTCTTTAGGAGAAAAGATGCTCTTGTGTCCTGAAGAGAAAGCAGCTTGTAATCAATGACATCCTGGACAGGAGCAAAAGACAAAATTCAGTGGTCTTTCAGGAAGCCGAGCAATGCTTTCCCTTATGGCTTTTTAGGAGTCTAAACAGATAAATTATTAACAATGTCATTGCAAAAAATATTAGTTTAACTGAACTAAAGGTGTAAGTCAGAGCTTAAGAGAAGATGTCCAGGTGTTTTGTTGACTGGCAATTTGTTAAAATATTTGAAAACAAGTGCATAGTAGAGACTTCTGGTACTGCTTCCAGTGCAGAAATTATGGTAGGGTTATAATGCAAATACTCTGAAAACAGTTTTCATTTTAGGAAATACTTTTCCAATTTTAGATCTTCCCTGTGACACTGCAGTTTTTAGAACTGGCTGTCTTCAACAAGTGGCTGAAATTTTTCACCAAAGCAGTTAAATGCAGCTTTTTTTTACTGTAGCAGTGGTATTGCCATAGGGTGAACCTGTTTGGAAGTACTTTGAGATCTGTGAGGAAGAAAAGTGGGTTTATAGAATGAATTTTTGTGTATTTTGGCTGGCTGCTAAGTAGACTAAACATGCTACATGCTTTTTAAATCCTGTGTTTGACAAGGATGTTGAACTGCTTTGGTTACTACTGCTGTTTCCAGAATACCATAAGGTTCTTAAAATGTACCAATTAGTTGCTCGTTAACAATCTTGTGACTCTTTGTTGAATCTGCTGGTCAAAGTGAGGCCATCACTACCTTACCTGTTTCCTCCTCCCAATGTTACTGAGGGGCTGAGTGAGCTAGTGTTGTGAAGTATGAGCAATGTATTTAAAATTGTTTATATTAGTTATTACTATTTTGTTGTCAGAATTTTTGAAAAGGTTGAGACTCCTTTTACAAGAAAAGACAACTTCACACGTTTTACTCAACAAATCGTTTGGACAGTTCTGATAAATTTATGCAATAAAAATTGCATACATTCTGGTAGAACTTGCTACTCCTTAAGCACTCTATCTTACAGAAAGCTCCAGGAAGGGTTTTAATGACAAGTTGTATATACCTGCAATACGCTATGGAGGTCAGTGGGGTCTTCCGTTAAGGTTTTCCTTGTAGAAGCTGCAAAATTTGCCAAATCTTCTTGGTGATGTCAGGCTGGGCTGCGTATTGTGGATGTTCATGCTGTGCAGGTACAGCCACAGCTTTAGGGGGTGATTGCGGCACTGATCTGTCTGCGCTGAGCAACTGGTGCCAGTGTGTGGTTTGTGCAGAGCCCTTGTTGCAGGTGCTGTGTAACCACATAAAGCTGCATCGTTTCCTAAGTTGTGCAAATTCAGACTTGGAGAAAACCAAAGAGTAAGGAACTGGTGATGGGGAGTAGAGGACTAAGAAGGAGAAAGTGGACACCATTCCTGCAGCGTATGTGACATGGAGGCAGGAGGCCTCCCGGGCAAGGCCTTGCCTGGAGTGGTTGTGTTACCTGCAAGTGCACACAGCCTCCTCCGCTGGTGATGGGTCACACTGTCAGAGGGTGTTGTAAGGAAATTAGCAGCTGCATCAGTGAAGATGCTCAGAGCCACCCAGACAAAAGTCATGCTCAGGTGGTATGAATTCAGGACACAGCAGTCTGTGCCTGTACTAGAATATGTGTCACCTGGGTTTCTTATCTGAGCTCAAAGCTAGAAGTCCAGTTAATCTTCTTGTGCTTTTCTCACATTCTTTGGTGTGCATCCCCACTAAGAGGACTTTGCTTCTCCGTTTATTTAGTCTACTCAAGAATGGCAGAGGCCAAAGCCTCCAGCTTCCCAGCACTGTGTTGTTTTAAAGCTGTTACTTTTAAATGTATTTGTTTATGTTGATGTTTATGTTTGTCAGCTAACGGAAGGGAAAGCACTACTCATGGATATGCTGTAAACATTTGCAAAACAGCTTCACCGATTTCCTGTGTATCTCTCTTGAGGCATCTCCTTTGCTTTCAGGTTTATGAAAATGCCTTGAGGGGGGGGCTGAGGCACAGGAGGGCTGTGTCTCCCCTGCAGACTCGCTCTTTCACTGCACTCCCTGATATAACCGTGGCTTGCTGGGGCCAGGCAAGTGCTGGTTATTAAAGGAAAGACTTAGTGATGGCTGTGGACAGTGTGGCAAAGAGATGGCCACTTCATGAGGACCCAGAACCATCCCCACAGCCACAGGGACAGTCCTGGGCCCTTCGCGGCCCATGGTGGCCCAGCTCTGGAAGTGGTTGCCACCATGGCAGCCATCTCTTCCCGCATTGCCCAATGCTGCTTAGAGAGGGCCACTGCCTGTGAGAGGAAGGAAAGAGGGAGTCCACCTGGGCAGTTCCCTCTCATCCCGGTCATGCCTTTGGGTTGGCGAAACATTGGGAGATGGAGGGTGGCTAGGGAGTGCTGCATTGTCTGCTGGGCTGGTGGCCACCGCTGCCTCTTCCTCAACCTCTGCCTAGTTTTGGTGGTATTGCATTTTGCCTGCCTGCTGGTGCTGTTTTGGAACAGGCTTTCAACAACACTGAGCACCCATACTCAAACTTATTATATATACCACCTGTGCTTGTGAAAATGGGGTTGTGCACTGAGCAGTAAAGGCACAGGGACCAGAGAAGCTCCAAGACATTTCTAGAAAGCAGTGAAGCCCTGCGCATGTGGGCTTACTGCAGGGATGGCAAGGAGACTGTCATCTGTCCCCCTGGTGCCACCAGAGTCAGAGGCAGCAGTTACAGGACAGCATTGTAATGACACTCTTTCCATCTTGCCAGGTTATGGCTGGATCCCGTCTTGTACCTCTAGAAGGTCCTGAAAGTGGTTGCGTGGATCCATCCCATAAGTCAGCAAGAAAAACAAAGTTGTATGATTTGTTACAGAGTCCACAGTCTCTCTGTTTCATAAATAAGACAGAAGTTTGATGTTTGGTTAGCCTTCCACTTGTATGCCCCTAGTGATTGCTAATGCCAGTTTTGCAAAACAGCCAAGTTTAGGGCATTTGGGTCTGTGCCATGTGGGACAAGGAGCACTTTCCTTTGTGCACTCCAGAGTAGTTGTATATGAGGCAAGTGGTTAAGCTCTAAAATGGCCATGGGGGTTCTGCAACAGGATTTTCTGTCCTCCCTGCAGATTTTTCAAATTAACAAGATGAGGAATGGGAGCTTCTTGCTTGTATCACCTGGCTCCAGTTTGCCCATCACAAAGTGGAAGAGCACAGGGTGGATTGTTAGCAATGATTACCATAATCAAATTTAGAAAGGGTCATGCCCTTTGAAATGTATTCCTGAAAGTGCTTGTCACTGGATGTTAGAAAGCCCTGGAATATGCTCTAGTCCTCAGCTGTCAGTGAAGTAACACCAATGACTGCAACACCAGAGGATCCTAGTGGAACCTGGAATTTTTTTCACTTCTTTGAAGATAAAACTGAAAGTGGAGTTCTTAAATAGGAAAACAGTACAAAACCTACTGGATCAATACTGACTTGGTAAATACAGTCATCTCTGTTTGCTGGAAGCTAAACGGTGTCTGACAGTCTGTGGAAATAAACCTGCTAGTAGATAATGGTCATGGGAGGCTTTATATTTTTATGATAATGCTATGAGTTTGTATTCACAAACTAGTTATTTGCTTTGAGCTGTGCAGAACTGAGTGCTATAATGTGATATTCTGAAAATTTCTCTAAGTAAGCAAATACCTTGATTGTTTCCAGAGCTTCCTGTAAAAGAATGTAGTTAGAGGAAACAGTTGCTTTAAATGTCATTTTTGTCCAAATATGGAACAACAGAAATAACTATATTTCCTGTGAACTAACTGGAAGCCCCCTGGATTTGCATTACTTTGTGAAAATGATGTTCACATCACCAACGGGAAAGTCATGTTCACAGAGCAGCTTTCAGGGAATTCCCATGACCCTACCTCCAGGATAGACCCTTGGGGAATTTGGAAAAGAATGTAAAAAATGAGATCCCAACAACAAAACATTTCAGCTGCAACAGTTTGATATTCTTTTGACTCAGAAGACATGACTCTTTTTTAACATATTTTAAGTGAAGTACTTCCAACTGATGCTAATTTGCAAAGTAAATATTTCCTGAAATAATTAATATTAAACATTTAAAAATTTACTAATATTCCCTTGAGTGACTAAAGTACACTGGAGATTTCAGATAAGAATCTGTGGTCTGTCTGCAATTTTTGTATGAACATCCTGCATGATTCTGATAATACAAAAACCAACAACAAAACAGCCCTCCCCCCAGCCAAACAAAGAAACCCTGCCAAAAATATATAAACAGCCCACTCATGTTCCAGTAGCCATAATGATTTTTTTTCCAATTGCATTTTAGAGTTTTTCTTAAAATCAGCTGGTATTCTGAAAATTGTGCAAGGCTTTTAAATAAAACCAGAGTTGAATTGTTGTGATTCGTTCAAAATTCATCCGGCATAGTGATACTTCAGACAATGACTTTTAATTCCTTTCAGATATTAATGAATATGTTAATTTGGGAATCTAAACTTAAAAGTTTTCCTGAAACTAATAGGGATACTTAATTCATGCACTGTCATACAAATAATCATGAAGTTCCACAGTTTTCCACTGTGTAGGGTTTTCCAGGAGATTTTTCATCTGGTCTAAAGCAATCCCTAGAAGACATATTAGAAGAGTGGCTCTGCATTGACAGAGAAATGAGTGGGGACTACTGCTTCCTTCTGTCCTACTCATGTACATCAACCTACAAGCAAAGAAGGAAGGTCTTCAGGAAAATGAGTATTTTAATTCTTCTTATCCATTCAAGGTTTACTGAGCCTTTGGAGATTTTTGGGTTGCACTTACTTCCATTACTTAAATATAGGCGTCTGGTGCCTTTTGAAATATTTACATAGACTGAGCAGATATGACCAGGGACTCAGGGGAGAACGGTGCTGTTCCACAGGACATCTGGAATGGCACTGTTTGCTGTCCTCTGTGAAGACTAGATCTACAGAAAATTGAAAAGACGCGACCAGGAACTTTAAATAGCTACTGCATGACAGAAACTTCCAGTCATTGCTGATGAGAGCTGAACTTCAATTGGTGACGTAGAGGGTGAAAGCTGTAAAACCAATAAACCTTCCCTTGGTTTGGGGAATTCCCTTAATAGTCATAACTGAAGTCTCCCCATGATTTGCTGGGAAAAAAAGGAAAAAAGGGACATGAAGATAGGCTGCCAACTGTTTTGTTTTGCTTTTTTTTTCTAATGGGGAGAAAAAGAACTTAGGAGAGGAGTAAAGACTGGAGCTTGCTGACATTATAAAATAATAAAATGTTCCCTTTTGTTCGTTATTTATCTGTCTGTAGAGATCTGAAATTAATGGGTTTACAAATGAAATGAGAACTGTGCTCAATTTCTGGTCTTTGCTTTAAGTCCTGAAAATATAGCAATGGCAGATGTTTCTTTTCCTGAGCCATTTTAAGAGTTGAAGTTCAAATCATCAGTCCAGGAAAACTGGCTTTGTGTCAAGTCCTACAAGGGAGTATAACTAAATTTTGCTAATTTGCTAGTACAATCTGTATTTTTTGTTATCCTCTTTGTCCTAAGTAAGTAAATCAGAAGTTTTAGCAACATGATTTTTTTTCAAAGGTATTAATGGACTGCAAAATCAATTAACAAAAATATTAAGGTTTACTGGAATATAGCAGTGATTTCCTCTAGTGGTACTCTGCACACAAAAGAGCAGTTCAGCTCATTCAATAGTTCATCTAAAGGATGAAGACAAGAATAGTAATACAGCCAGGGAGCTATTTTGACATTCAGTAAAGAGAAGAAAATATGAGGGGAATGCAAGATAAGTGTCTTGCAGTTGGCATCACCTCCCTATTTCTGTATTTGGTGGGATGTGAAACGTGAAGATGTTATTGATCCAACTCTCGTGTCAGCTACATGAGTTGTATGTACATGTACTTAGGAAGAAGTGTGGTGTCTGCTACATAGGGATAAATCTCCCTTGGCCTTCCTGCTTTCCCCGTTAAGACTAGGTTAGCATAAGACCAGAAAGGAGTTGATGTTGTGGAGGTTCAGACACTGTCAAACAGCCATCCTATTGGCATTGCCATTCTTGTGTTTCAGCTTGAAACTGGTATTGGAATTCAGCTCAAATTGGGATTTGAACTAAAGCAATGTAGAGTGGGAAATCTACACTGTTTAATTACAAAGCATAATCAGTTAAGCATTACATCTAACCAGAAAATGTAATTTTAAAATTAATGAATCATGAGATGAAATAATTATGATTATTTTTACCTTTTTAAGCATTTTAGCTATGAATTAGGAAAATCAGAGAATTTTGATATCTCTGCTAATTTCGCCATTCACCTGTTCACAGGATTTTCTGTTTTGAAAGACAATGTATTTTGGGTAGGAGAAGTGACTACCTTCCCTGGAATGAGATTTTTAACATGAACAGGGTTAAGTAAACAGTGAGAATTTAATTAAATTTCTACCTTCCGTGAGTGCTTTGCAGGGTACAGTGTGAACTCAGTTGATACCTATGCAATTAGCCTACGCTGGTGGCTAGCTTAGCAACTGAAACTCAGTAAGCAGAGTCTGAGGTGATGTTGTGGGAAAGGGAATTACATTTTGTCTTGAGAAATGCACTTCTGTAAGAGAGTGGAACATCCAAGAACTGACTTGGCCTTTGTATTTTTTTGGACATGTCTGTAGCCTCCAGAAATGGTGCATTTCCAAATATGGCAGTCGTCTCCCTCCTAGGCTGCTCATCTGGCTGTTTGCATCGTTCCTGTGCAAGTTCCAAGCACTACTCCTCAAATGCCAGGAAAGTAGCTGGACGTGGAAAAACAGTGCAAAACGCAACAAGTCTGTAGTTAAGATCTGACAGATGTCTTACAGGCTGCATTGCAGACCAGAGTTTGTTCCATCTGCTGCATAGAATTTTAGCAGCCTTCTCAGTTCTGTCACTAACAGGGCTTAAGGCTTCTAAGGCTCTGTAGGTGGTCATAGAAGTTAGAGGTCTGGACTGGGATGCCCCTTCATTAGCAGAAATTTTTTTGAACTATACATTAATATGATAGTAAATAAATTGCTGTCTTTTATGTATACAGTTTGCATGTAGCACATCTGTATGTGTGGTGTTGAAGGAACATAATCTTTTTATGGTTTAATACTGATTTGCTATGATGATTCACTAAGCTTATCAGTTGCAGACAGTCTGGGAGAATGAAATGAAACGGAAATGCTTGTCAAAAAATGAAGCAATCTGTATCACTAAAATGAGCTTCTGTTTCTGGGCGGACTGATATTTTGTGGGAGGAGTAAGATAAAATTAATGTCTTCAAATGTTATATGAGAAGCTGGCCTGTGGTGCCAGGAAGCTGTGGCTATTTGAAAACTGTGAGCATACCATGCAAAATAGGTGAGGTACCTGCTGCAGTGCACTGGGCCAAAATCTTTGGATTAGCCTGTAACTGGCTCCTAGACAAGGGGTAAAGAATTTGCCTTTTCATCCACCACTCCCCCCCAGCAGATTATTGCCCAGTACTGTTCCATGTCTGTTTTTGCACTTGGAGGACAGCAGTGATTGTTTCAAGCTCCATGCAGTTTCTGGGGAAGGTATTGTTTTGCAAATGATGTCTGGGAGATATGGCAAAGTTATTTCTCTCTATTTGTCTCATTATCTCTAGTCATGTATAGTGAGAAATTATTAACTGGATTGTTCATGCCATGAGACTGATTTAAAACCATAAAAGTTTAGGAATAAGCAATAATTTGCATGGTTTCAGTTTAATTGTCTTGTGATGATTCCTGTACTTGCTTTAACCATCTTCCTTTCTCCCAGTGTCTCATTACTTAAGTGCCCTTTTGACCTCCTCAGATTGACCTTTGATCCATAAGCTTTTTCCAGTCTGGCCCTCTCATCTTCTCAGAGGACCAGGAGGAAAAAGCTCATACTTCTTCCTAGTATAGGCAGAATGTTATCACATCCCTCAGATTCTAAATACATTTTAGTAGTTGAGGATAATGCTATCCAGTAGTGACTGTCATCGTTGGCCAACCTCCCATCCATCTGCAAATGTTTCAGTCAGTGATAGTAAGAGATGATGCTATTGTAAAATAAAGGCAGCGTTTTGTAGAGGAGATGTCCTGCTCTGGCAAATTAGACTGCAGCACTTGCTCCTTCTTACCTTCCTCGCCCATGGTTATTCTAATCTTAAGCTTAAGAAACAGGAAAAATTGAATATAATGCAGTCATTTTTATGAGGATAAAAAGAGACTCAAAAACACAAGCCCATTCTTCTGGCCATGCTAAATTTAAGAACAAAACCCTGCTTAAATAACAACATACTTTTTTCCTAAAACAGTGCATGTTAAATAACAGGCTGAAGGAAATATGCGGGGATTAACTTCAAAACAGATGTTTACAATGAGTCAGTGATGTATTTTAATTACATTCCCAGATGCAATTAAAACAGACTTCTTCTGAATATAGGGGATGTGTTGATAAAACTGATAACATTCTGCATGATGCTGGAGGAGGAAGTATGAGCTGCAAGCATGCGTCCTCCAGCTGTGATCTCATCAGGTCTGAAAAACTAAGAAGGGTCACACCAGGTCACTTCTTGTAATGGGAGACCCAATGTTTTTCCAGGCATAACCATGTACTGCAAGGAGTAGCCGATTATTCTGTGGGTGGCACTTTTCCCTCCTGATCCTTACTGAAGCTGCACTGCAGCATGTGTTGATGTTGTTTTCAGGTCCAATTCTCTTTTTGCATAGTATGATAAATATTCATTCTAATCAGTGTTAATTCTCATCTTTCTGTGAATTTATAATATAATATGGTAAAATGCTATAATAATGTAAGAAAAAGTTGTTATTATATTTTCTTTATGTTGATATAGAGAAAGTTTGACTTCAAAAAACAAATTCAGTGGATCTGCATATACAAAAAAAAGGATATCAATAAAAGCAACAAATTTTTCAGGAGCTGATACTTTAATAGTATCAATAATTTATTGATAGATACATTAATATATATAAGCCTTTAATAATTTTATTTCTCTTTAATGCTTTACTTTAAAATAAAAGGTATTTACCAAGTAAAAATGTTATTGTATTATTTAACTTTCTTGAGGAATACTTACTAATCTTATGGGGGGCTTTCCAAATTCAAAATGGATTAGGTATATTTTCTCTTGGTTGCCCAGAAGTACTGAGATCATAGTAGACTGTGGAGCCCCCAGGTGTAAAGGGACAGGTGCCCAGTATCTGTGCTGAGATATGGCTCTGGGGAGGTGCCATCCTTGACTGCTTGCGAATAATGGCTTAAAGAGGCTGTCGAAGGATCTCCTGTGCACTGGTGGAATATTCACTGATACAAACATTTTGCTTCTTTTCCTCTTTGTTTCTGAGGGGCATGATAACAGTAAAATCAATAGACTGCTAAGTTGCTTACTACTTGCTTCAAGACTATGAGGGGGAAAAGTAGGGAGTAGTCTAGATGCACTTAAGTGCACAGAAGTACTTTGGTAGCACAAATCTGCTGTTGGATTTTACTTGTGCATCAGTTAATCTGACTTCTCTCATGTTACCATATGTGCTTAAGCAAACATTCCCCATGCTGACCAACCTTGCAAGTCAGTGTGGTACTTCTGACATCGCTGGCTCGTTGCGATATGTTCTGCCTGTCACCCAGTTCAGACATTTAATTCTCAATTTCTCTTTTATTTTCAGGGTTGTTCCGGTTGTGGAAAATGTGACTGCAGTGGAGTAAAAGGGCAAAAGGTAAGTGAGCTGTCTCCATTTTTCTTGCTTATTTCAACCACAGGGTGTGTAACCTACCTGGAGTCAGGTGAACCATTGCTTTTGGTGAAGACTTGCACTCCAGGCAGTGTTGCCAAGGCCAGGCCACGTGCTCTTCAATGGGGTTCCCAAAAAGCAGGCAGCTCGATGTCTGCAGAGAGCAGGAGAGGCCAGGGGTGGGAAGCAGTCAGTTGCCTTCACTGCAGGTTGAAGTCCCTAGCCCAGTGCTTGGCTATGCCTTCCCTCCTCCCCCATCGAGTGGGATGCTAACCCATCACTCTCACCTTTCCTAAGCCTCATCTCCAGTCTTTTCAGTTGGTAGCAGGCTTCACATCCTGAGCGCCTCTGGAATTGAGGCAAGCAGCTCAGTTCAGAAATGCTCCTCTCAGCATGCTGTGCTGGGACCTGGTGGTCCAGCAGACTGTCTTTCTTCTAGACAGGCATTAAATGTAAAAAATCAGGATGAAAAACTACTCTAAGTTGAAACAAGAGTGAGGGCAGATGATTGCTCTCCAGGAAGGCTGTGATGCATCATAATCAACATAGCCTGACCAGGGTTAGCCCTGGGAGGCAATGACTTATAATAGGAAGAAGTAGAGTAATAATAAACTTAAATACAGAAGAGTGTTGCAGGTCAAGGAAAAAAAAAAAGGTCAAGAAAAAAAATAGTATTTAAAACTTTTTGAAAGAATCTTGCAAATGAGTTTTAAAGTTCCCATTCAGTTATCCAAACATTTTGTGTATGAAACATAAAAGGCTCTTCAAAGCCTTCTTTTAAAGCAGTAACAGTGAAAAAAAATTATAGTGTATTTAAGCATTCCATGAATTCCCCCTCTAAATTACTTACTTTTGTAAATATTGCAGACATTCAATCACTCTCCTTATCTCTTCCAATTTTGTTGTAGAGATTTTAATCTACAGTGTGTTCTGTTGTGCATGCACATATGCTGTGTATCTACCATTATAAATGAGTGTAAACCAAAGTTTTGTCATCCTGTGATTGCTGTGGGTACATTTTTGAGGTAAGTTGTTTAGGTCACCAAAGGAATGCTTAGAAAAGGTGGGGGGTTTGTTTGTTTTTTGTTCTGGAGGGTTGTTTTGTTCTTTGAAATAAATAGGCAGCTGGTGTTCTACATTGTCTCAGATGCAATAGCTGCATGTTTATGGATGAGAGGTTTAGAAATGTTTGTTGGTGGCTTTTCTTTGGTGTTTTCCAGACCTAAGAATGTAAATTGCTTAATTGGAGACCCAAGCAAGATCATTTTCTTTGTAACAGAACATAGATTAATTTGTGACACAGATGAAAAGTGTTGACGTTCAAAACATCTTTTAGATGGAGTCTCCTTTTTTTTTAATAACCTAATAACTGTTTAATAGAAGTCAACTATATATTAAAAACAAATACAAGAAAGACTTGGGAAAGCTTCAAAACTCTGAATTTATTCCTTGATATCTTGATCTTATTTTTCAGTAACAAGTACAAATGAGTCATTGTAGAATGAAAGAGACATGTTATAACTCTCTTGTTGAAAGACGTTAGTTTTCAGTTCATAGAGTATGCCAGCATCTTGTAACAAGATCATTTTAAAAAGTGATAGCTTGGGGAAATAAATAGCATTAAACCTTATGCTTCATTTATTTCCAGCTGCAGTTCTGTCTCTTTGCTAGAGTTCTTGCTGGCATTTTTCATTTCCATAGTCCAGAGTCTTAAAATGTTCTCTTTTAAAAGAAATAGATGCTTGTCTGATATGCTAGAATCCCAAACTACCTCACATTAATGTAGACTATTTAAAAATGTAGAAGAGATAAAAATATCCATAGGAACCGAAATCATAGTAAATTCCAAATCCCATGCAAAGTTGTCCAGCATGTCAGTGTACTCTACTCTTCCTAATGAGTTCCTCACAAACTTCCTTGACTTTAAGCAGGAATGCAGTGAAGTATTTACATCATTTTAGACTGTGTAGGAAATGCAGTTGTTGACATTAGAGACATCAAGACAGGTGAATGAATAGTTACACCTGTAAAACAGTAGTCAAGAAAGGCATTTTAAGGTATTTTGGAATGCATTTAACATGGAACTTGATTCAGATCAATACTTGCTCATTATGTGAACACCTTGAGGCTTTCAAATGTGTACTCAGGATTTTGAAGAGAAAATCTTTTAGTTAAAAACATCTTCCCGCTGCCCTTGTTTCAGCCTAGAGTAGTTTCTCATCCTGATTCTTCACATTTAATGCCTGTCTAGAATAAGGACAGCCTACCACCATGTCCCAAGCCTGAAGACAGAAGGAGATGGTGAGGGAAAGTAAGAGGAGCATCCTTCCTGCTTGCCTCTGTAATATTTCTAGAATTGGTCTTTCCAACCATTCTGTTTGGATTTGAAACATGTCTCTGCTAAACATGGTTCCCATTAACACACACATCAGTAGCAGTACCTGTTACCTCAGAAATCTTCGTGAATGTTGCTTATTCAGAGAACAGATTAGAGAGACTGACCCTCGCCAAGATCCAGGCTAGGAGAAGGCTGCCAAGCCCAGCTCTTGTGGTACCCCAGGAGACCACATTAGAGAACATCTGCTCTCCATTTCTCACGTAGCCACTTGTGTGGGAAGCACATATCCACTCTGCCCTGCACCATCCACAGCCAACATGTTGCCTATACTGGAAACCCTTTTGATCTGGCTTCCATGTCATGCAAAAGTGCACAGACACTGAAGGGCCTTTTCCAATCCACCCACACCAATTTACTGCCATGGGAGCTTCGGGAGCTGCGGAAGTGGGTGCTGAGTTTACCCTTTAATGCCTTAAGTATTAACATCTGGAGAGATATTTCCTACCGTAGTGTGGGAAGAAGTTCCAGACCCTATAGTTTAGTGGGGTTTCATTAAAATTCGTTTGGCCAAATAATCATATTAATGATCTCACCAGAAAAATCGCTGAAAATGGTCTTTGACTTAAAAGCTGTAAAGTGCCCAAGAAATATTACCCAACAGCATTTCAGACATGGAAGAGTAAATTACATTGGCATATTTTTTCTCTCACTTGAAAATATTTTCATCAATATGATGGCCATATTTAGAGTACATTTAATATATTCTCTCATCAGACTGTTTCCATGAAAATTGCATCTCTGTGGTAAACTCCTTTAACATGACTCATACTTTATCAAAGGCTTATAATTGACAAAGTCTAAGGGTTTTCATCCCTTTCAGAAAATTTCAGAAAGTGAGCATAATTGCAACAGATGGCCCTTATCCCATAAAGCCTTTATTATTGCACTAAACATCAGGCTGTTGTTTTAAGCTATATAATGTCAAGTATCACATAATTGCCAAACAGAAGGTGCAGAAATATTAGAAAAGCATAATATTGCTAAAATAATAAATAATACCTTACTGTTTTCTATTAGATTAGCCTAAAACATCTTCATTTGTTGCCTCTTATGCTTTTTATTTGATTTTCTGCATAATAACTTGACTGTTCTCTTGAGCCTCGCTGAAGTGAGATCTGTTTAAACTGATTAGAGTTTTGAATGCTTGCCTACATTTTATTGAGCTACTCTGAAGTAGACTGAAGCTGTGTTTTCTCTTTTATGCCTACCTAGATTTTGAGAACAATTTCAAGCAGCTGTGGAGATAAGAACTGCCTAGCCATTAGTGTGTGTAGAAAAAGCATCTTAAGCATTTCATTACCATTTAGAACAAAGACTGTACAGAGATGAGTGAAATTCTCCATGAACTGACTTTTTCCAAGAATGTTCATTCTCTCATTCATGACCATTTGCACTCCTTTTACTCTGTATCAGAAACATGTATAAGTGGAACCTTGCTGTAGTAATACAGAATGATTAATCTTCTCAGACTTATTAGTTAGAATGCATTGAAGTATAAATCATCACTCTTTAGTATAAATATTTTATGATGATTTCACTGTCTCAGCATTACCCATTGAAAGTCGAAGTCACAAGAATATCAAACATGCTTTCATAATTGAGCATGAAGTATTGCAAATTAAAAAAAAATCTTTGCTAGGATGCTCTGAAAGAAAATAGAAAAGAAGAATAGAATTAGCTCTAAATGAAACTGCTGCTTTTGACCTTTTGTTTGTTTGTTAGTTTGAGAGGTAAAAAACTTGAGCAAGTAATTTTATCTTGGCTTATTTTTGCTTGCCTAATTCTGAGACTGTATTATATGTACATAAAAATTACTTCTCCATTTCCCTGATGAGTGCATCATTCCTGTGTGGATTGACCATGCCACACAAGTACACAAACTGGCTTTGCTTGAGGTATTTTGGGTCTGGAAGCCAGGTAGCTCTGACTTGGACTGACAGTCAGTGGGACATCTCTGGAGTTCCCTGTCAACAGGACCAGTGACCAGTATTTTCTCTCCTGCACACTACAGTCTTAAAAATCACTCATCGTTTTGTTGTCTGCAGGGGATTGTGCTTCTCCTGTGTAATGAAAAGTTGACTGTTGCAGTGGACTGTGTCCACTTTTTTTTAAGGTTTACCAGATTGGGAGGACCTTTAAGAGTCTTCCTGTCATTTTAGGTATCAAAAGGTAGAGCAAAAATATTTGTGATATTGATGATTTAACACAATATAAAACCTCTTGTTGGAGAGAAGCCCCGGCAGTCAGTGGGAAGATCACTATTAAGTACTTCTGAGTTTTCTTGAAGATATAGCAGAGGGCAACAAATCAATTCCTTTAGTGGAGCAAATCAATAATCACCAGATCTATGGTTTTCATAGTCAACTTTTATTAGACTTTTTTTTAAATCAAAATTTTTTTGTTAACGCTTTTCATCGACTCTACTTGGTTTTAGTAAATACAGCTCAGTGTTTCTATTCTGTTGGAACTTACTTGGGGTACAGCACCTATTTATACCTGAGTTGTAAAGAGTTTGAGCTGAGGACCCTAAGGAAACCACAACTAAATAATATACCCTGGAGACAGCCATAACGTTGGCAAGAGAGGT